GCCCAGCTCTCCAGCCTGTCCAGGTCTTGGCGAATGACAGCGTAGCCTTTTGGTGTATCAGCCACTCCTCCCAGTTTTGTATCATCAGCGAACTTGCTGAGGGTACACTCTGTCCCTTCATCCAGGTTGTTGGCCAACAGGTTAAACAGGATCAGACCCAGAACTGACCCATGGGGAACACCACTAGCTACAGGCCTTCAACCAGACTCTGCGCTGCTGATCACAACCCTCTGGGCTCTGCCATTCAGACAGTTCTCAATCCACCTCACTGTCCACTCATCTAGCCCGCATTTCCTGAACTTACCTATGAGGATGTTATGGGAGACAGTGTCAAAATCCTTGCTGAATTCAAGGCAGACAATGTTCACTGCTCTCTGCTCATCTGCCCAGCCAGTCATGCTGTCGTAGAAAGCTATTAGGTTGGTCAAGCATGACTTCCCCTTGGTGAATCCATGTTGAGAGCTCCTGATAGACGTCTTTTCCTCCACATGCTTAGAGATGACATCCAGAGTGGGCTGTTCCGCATCACTTTATTCCTCTGCCATTGTTCTTGAAGTTAAATAACTTCCCTTCCTTTTAGAATTTTCCTCCAGTGTAAATTTAAAGATATAAACCCAAGCTACACTTGCTCTTTTTTTGGTAGACTGGCCAAGCCAAGCTCATTCAGTCTTTTCTCTCAGCATAGCTTTCCTTTCCCAAGATTGTCTTGGTCATGCTGCTCTATAGCTGTTTCACTTAGAGCTCTTTTGTGCAAAACCAATGTTCAGCTAGTCAGTCTGCAGTGTTTGCTGGTTCAGTGACAACTTTCAGACTTGAACTCAACAGGATGTTCTCTCCAGTGGTGGAACAGAGGCTGCATCTGCTTGCTCCAGGTAGGTTTTTGCAGCTGAAGTTACCGGTTTGAACATTGTTCCCCTGGACTCTGTCAGTGACAATGCAAGTCTGCATGTGCTACTTCTTAAAGATAATTCAGTGGCAAATGTTACTAAATTCAGTTTACTTGCACTACACAGTTGTTATGTTATGCCTATGTTGTGTTGCTTGTTTATTTTTTTCTGTTTTATTGTTCAGTGAGTGATAGTTTAGATAGCATTTACTTAACCTTTAAGCAGTTTTTTAAAATGCAGAGCATAAAGCTGTTTTTCCTTTAGCAGGAGTCAGAAGAACTGTCCTCTGATGAGGAGATGAAAATGGCAGAAATGCGACCACCGCTGATAGAAACCTCCATAAACCAGCCAAAAGTGGTAGCTCTTGGCAATAACAAAAAAGGTTAGCTACCATAAAAAACAGTAGAAATGTTATGTGATTCTGATAATTTCTCATCTCAAAGTGGCTAATTTTTCTGATTAAATTAAGTAAGAGTAGATTTAATTTGTATGTTTTAAAGGAAAGATGATCAATTCCCTAGTTAAGCAATGAAAGCAGAAAAAAAAATCTGCAATATCTTGTACTTGAGTGTGTGGTAGAGAAAGCTGTGTTGGCACCCTAATTTTCTTGATTCTTATCATCAGTTTAAAAGCAGAGGGGGAAGGGAGACGTGTGTGTTTTGGGAGACTGTTAGCTTGAGCACACTCTTGATACACTTAAGAAAAGTATTGCAGAAAGTGGTATTTACCTTGGAGATAGTCCATATTTCCCCCCTCTCCCAGATTTTTTGGATTATTGCTGCTATAGGCAGCAACATCACTTCTTTACATTTCTCAGAGAAGCCGTGCTCTCTTCCTAAGGTTTAAGAATAAACTTCTCTTGTGGCAACTCTTTTTCCAGAGTCACTTTACTCTTCTATTTTCCTTCTTTCCTCTAACAGGAAACTTCCGAACATTGGTTTTGTTACCTATTATATTATATATTCTTTGAAAGACAATTTTGGTCTGGGTAGCCATTTCCTTAAGAGTAAGGAATGACCTAGGATTCAAAGAAAACATAATTTAAAAGTTGGTGAGCAAATTGTATTTTGCTTCACATGATATCCTAGTCCAGTACTTTCCAGGACAGAAGGCTTTTCTGGCCATTAGATGTAAAAGGATGAGATTTAGTGAGGATGAAGGAAAACCACAAGGAAGTAGGAGGAAGAGTCTGCTGAGGATCACATGCAGGTGAAAAGACTGATGTTTGTCAATGCTGTCTTTGGGCTTTTATGCCTGACTAAAGTACTAAGTCAAAACTTCTTTGTTGTCTCTAGAGACAGACATTAGTTTCACAAAATTTATGCTTTTGACATATGTAATGGTGTCTTGAAGCAAAAATTTAAATGTATTTGTTTGTACACTTATATCAAAATCATGGCTGGCTTGAAGTCCCACAAAGAAATTATTTTTATATGAATGTAGTATGAAAGTATGCATACACTGTGCAAGAATCAATGTGTGCAACTGTAAATTACTCCGAAAATGTTGTCCTAAGTGATCTGCAAAGCATGGGAATGCATTGGATTCCAACTCTGCAGAAGAACGTTTTTCTTTCCTGTTTTTTTTACATTTATGAAACAATACAGAGCTTATCCAGTGATCTAGGTCTTTCCAGAGTGCTTGGTCTAATAAATAGCTATTAAACAATGATAGAATGTTCAAAATCAGGAACTGTGTACACTTTAAAGATCCTACATGTGAAGCAGTGTACTTCATTTTCATAGGGGGCAACAGAGTCATCTAATTCAAAACTTCAAAATAATTGCAAAAACAGAAATATTATTTAATGGTATTTTGGGGAAGTACTATAGAACGTAGCACTAGCTTATGCTACAGAAATGTGGAATAAAGCAACAAGTTAAATTTCATTAACAGGTGAAGGCCAAATACTTAAAAAATAGGAACTGTTGCCAGCAGTTTTTTGTAAGTTTAAATGAAGTTTGCAAAGGTGTTAGCTTACATTTTAGTTTCATAAGAATTACTGAAGAACAATTTCAAAATACTGTAACATACACACATTAAATGGTTGTTAAACAGAGGTACGTGTCTGTGTCTAAATTGACAAATTTTTATTTCAGAGGATTCAAAAGATGCTGATTCCTTATCAGATGAAGCTACCCACAATAGCAATCAAAACAACAGCAACTGTTCCTCTCCTTCTCGAATGTCAGATTCGGTTTCCTTAAATACTGATAGTAGCCAAGATATTTCTCTCTGTTCTCCAGACAAAGAAACACATGCTGCTGTTTTATCCAAGATCAGGTTTGTAAGATACTGTATACCACTGAGCAAATAAAATAGAAAAATGTTACTTAATTTTTCATATTATGTGTCTATCCCTTTAATTCATTAATTTATCATTCAGGAAATAATTTAAATTTTAATGTTTTAAAATAAGGTTAAATGGAATCATTCTCTTAAAAAAAAAAAAAAGGCGGTGACAGTAAAATTCAAAGGCTAATTTTAGTGTACAAGACATGATTCCCATCTGTTTTAATAGTAGGATATAATAATTACAAACCTTACAATTTGTTATCCCTGCAAAACATTTCAATACACCGTTTTAAAAGCTTTATGTTTTTATTTGCATATTTTTGAAGATCAATTTGATAACTAACATAACTATAAAAGGCTTTTAGAAGCTTGTAAAGAATGGACTTACAGGTTGCTACTCTTCTTGAGGTTTTAGTTAGAAGGTTCCATTATTTTTTTTTTTTAATTGCCAGTAGAAACAAGACATTTGTCCAAAATTGTCATGGAACTTGCAAGTATTTGATTAAAAAAAGTGTTATTTGACACTTTTAAACTGTCTTCAATAATTCCTGTTGCATTTAAACAAACTTCTGAAATCAGATGACACAAATGTTGTCAAAATAAGCCCTCTATATAATATATTTCTGTAATAGTAAGATAACAAATCATAAATCTGGTTGTATATTGGTCTTCGTCCTGTTTTGTGTACACAGTATGGCTGTGTTGCATATTAATTATTATTTTTTCTAAACCAGTTCTTAAAGGAAGGAATATGTTGGTTCCTTTTGGAATTTCTTTTAAGAGCCATCTTTTTTTCTAGGCGAGAAGACGAAAATTTGAATAAATTTTTGCAAAATGGAGGTGAATTGAGCATTACAGTAGAAGAAAAAATGAATGTACAAGAGGTCACCAATTTGTCTGACTATGAATTAAGCATTGAAGAAAGATTAGGCCTGACAGGAAAAGGTGTTGATGTAAGCACTTCTGCAGAGGAATCTCACAAATTAGACCAAATAAACATGAATATCAAGAAACTGGTTAGTGAAGAGGCAGTGCCAGTGTCTGCAGAAAGGTTACAAACACAGGAACTAGTTTCAGTAAAGGGCTTTTTGAATAACAATATGAAAGAAGAAAGCGAGCACTTGGAAAATGGAAATAAATATCCAGTAAATAAAGTAAATGGACATCTTGAGGAAGAAGTACGGTCTCCCAGTAAACAGAAATTAACAAGAAGCACTACAGTTGATGGTGATTCTGCTGAGCTGTCTGTTTCCAGGAGCACTGAAGATTTGTCCCCACAGAGAAGTGGTCCTGTGGTGAAATCTCACAGCACCACCAGTATGGACACTGGTGGTCTAAAAATCTACGATATTGTCAATGAGAATGGATCTCAACAGTCAAACTCAGTGGTAAAATTAGCATCTGATAGTGCAGATGGAAAAAATATAGTCAGAAGTAAATCCGCTACTCTTCTGTATGATCAGCCTTTGCAGGTTTTTCCTGGGTCGTCATCATCATCTGATTTAGTATCTTCTACAAAAACTGTGTTCAAGTTTGACTCAAATCACAATCCTGAAGGTGCTAATGTAGTGAGAGGATCAGTGACAAGTGGTGCACAGATGTTCTGCACTCCCCAGTATAATATTCAGTACAGCAGCAGTGCAACAGCGAAAGACACCTTGTGGCCTCAGAAACAAAACAGCCAAGTAGAACAAGGCAGTTTACCTCCTTCACGTCTGCTTAGGTCTGACAGTACAGAAACACCCAGCTATGTAAAGCATTCTGCCAATATGAATTTTTCTAATCATAACAATGTCCGAGCCAGCACTGTGTATAATACTCATCAACGGATGGCTGGGAGACATGTAGATATGTGGGCTATTCCACCAAATGATAGACTGCTCCCAGGAGCAACCAGACATACTCTTCAAAGGCAAAGCAGTGTATCTTCTGCAGCTTCTATAAATGTTGGGGATACTGGACCTTCAAGGCGGACCCAGGTTCCTGAAGGGGACTATTTAACATACAGAGATTTGCATTCAATGGGAAGAGCTCCACCAGTAATGTCTGGGCAACAGAGACCTCTTTCTGCCAGGACATACAGCATTGATGGTCCAAATGTACCCCGACCACAGAGTGCTCGGCCATCAGTGAACGAAATACCAGAAAGAACTATGTCAGTTAGTGACTTCAATTACTCACGGACTAGCCCTTCGAAGAGATCAAACCCAAGGGTTAACTCTGAGCATTCTTTATTAGACCCTCCAGGAAAAAGTAAAGTCCCTCATGACTGGAGGGAACAGGTGCTGCGACATATTGAGGCTAAAAAGCTAGAAAAGGTAAAAATAGTAATTTTAAAACTTTTCTGCGTTTCTGTTACCTGGATATGGAATAAGTTAAATACTCTGTGTTTTGAACTCCTTTTAATTACAGGTGAAAATGTACTTCTGATACCGCCTTAAAAAGGATAAACATGTTTGTGATGAATTCCTCAGAAACAGTCAAATAGTAGACTGTAAATGAACTTTTCCCCCAAAGCGAAAAAAGTCCCTGTTGTTTTTACATCATACTTGCCAACTTAGTCCAATTACTTTAGAATACATTAAATAATGTCAAGTTGACCTGCTGAACTGCAAGGCCAGCTCTTTTAGGCCAGGTAATTTTTATTGTAGCATTGTATTCCTGTTACACTAAAGTATTCCCTTACGCTTCTTTATCTTTGTTCTTTTTTCTCCTATTTCTTCTCTTTAAGAACAAGGAAAAGAAAATCAGTAAAATCTATTTTGGAAGCATAGGTCTACAGCTTCAGTTGCTAAAGAATTCAAAAGCTATAATTAACATGTATTTGCCTCCAAGCCAGTTGTCTTTTGAAGCTGGGTATCTGACACGCTGTTGAATGAATATTTATTGCTGTGAGATGGGAACACTTAAAAATCTTGTTCATTTCAGGAAATCACAGGAGCTTTTGATATAACCAGAAATGATGAACAGGATTCTTTATGTGCTGTAAATGCTATCAAAAATTTGAGCTGATATGTAGAGCTGAACTGTTATATATCTTCAAAGAATTTGATTAGAAACTGAAGAGTGTAATCTATGCTGTCCAGCTAAACCATTTTAAAGTATCATCACTAAATAATGGGTAGAATGTGTTTAGCCTGGTCCTGTTTCCTTTGAAGGGAAGTGAGTAAAGCACCCAAAATACATTTTGATTATGCCAGCTAGATGGATTTTCTTTTTTAATTTCTTTTGAAAGAACTTAGTTTGGTTTGTCATTATTATGCTAAATACTTCAATATCTGTGATAGCTAAATAAATCTTATTGGAGATGGTTGAAGAAATTATTTTTAACTATGATTTTTCTTTGGAAATTCAAGTATTTGGAGGGATGGGTTTGGTTTTGTTTGTTTTAAGTTGCATAACTTCTGGTGATAGAAAGGGCTAGGTTTTGTTTGTTTTTAAAAGAAGCCTTAACGACAGATGCACCTGTTCTTCTGATCCAGTTTGAGTCACGTACAACATAAAATGTTTTAAGGCTTTCATAGTACTGCTCTCTAGTACGGGGACCCTTTGTCCCACAAGACAGTCACAGACCTCACGATGTTCCGACCCTAATAAAAGGTGCATTCCCAGATCTTCCATCCTCCTGGATACATATGTCAAATCTTACATGACATGTGTAAGCAAAAATCCCAGCAATCCCTGAATGCAGAGGGAAGCAAAACTTCAGTGTGCTGCTAATGGAGTTTGTTTATAGCTTGTTCTTATATCATCCACATTTGACAAGTTAGAAACAATGTTTAATACATCAGTGATTTCTGTTTAGGTACTGTAGCAGTGTAGTCACCTTTACTGAAATGAAATTGATTGCCTAACTTGATTGCCTTTATATCTGTCCATACCTTCAATCATGCTTTGTATGTAAACGTTACTTTTTGTTTCCTACTGGAGTGATATGGAGTAGCTGCTGTTGAGATCTTAGCTGTGCATCTAATTTAACAGCTCTTAGAAGTCTGTTTTATATGTGCATGTTTCTTTTGTTCTGGCCTTGAAGTGTTTTAAAGTAGCTTTTACTTAGCAATCTGAGACTTACTTATGGCTTTAAAAGTGAATGTGTATATAATTGTCTACTTTATGTTCTCTAGGATATGACTGACTTAAAAAGAAAAATCTGAACTGTGAAAAATATAGATACGATCCTGTGTGGCAGCTGGCAAATATGATAATGTGGAAATTCTAGGAATTTACTGGATATTTCTTCATTCTTTTAAAATAATGGTTTCGCTATTTCTGTTTGTAATTAAAAATTAGCTGGGCGGGGGTGGGCTTAATCTATAAACCAGATTTCTGGCATGTTTTGAAGTCTGAAAAAAATTTCGGTAATTACAGAACTCATTTAAGGAACAAGCATTTAAGGAACAAGTTCAATTACAGAGCTCATTTAAGGAACATTTATTGCAAATTGCTTTGACACAGCTTTTGTGGATTTAAAATGGTGTTTCTTTTCTTAAAGCATAAGACACAACACTGACAAAAATAGGTATACAAAATTAAGGCTTATCATCAATATTTAATACATATCTTCTTGCCTGTGGTTGTACACAACAATATGGGTTAATAGTATTAGCTTTGCTGTGACTCTTAGGAAGGAGGGTGTAGTGGGGTTTTGGGAGTTGGTTTTCTTGTGGGTTTGGGTTTGGTTTTGTTTTGTTTTTTTCTTTTTCGCTAAGCTCCTGAAGTACTTGTTTGGTTTTGTAAAATTTAGTAACTAGAAGGAGAGAGAGTCTGCTTGTTGGACAAATTGGAGATGCTAGTTTTTGTTTTATTTATTAGCCCTTTTTACCTGATATAGATAGAGAAAAAAAAAACTTTCAAGAGTTTAATTTGCATGAGGGAGAGATACAGGATGGTTTTAAGTCCAGCAAAACTCACTAACAGTGGATTCCAGCCACGTAACCAGCGTTTGTAATCGCTTTGACAAGCTGTAAGGGAGCATACACTGATCGACTAAAATTATCAGTCTTGTTGAAGGAAGGTGAAAACAGTTCATAAGACCATTTGTAAACAGAAATTTTGCATATATTCAAGAAAAACAATTTGCTTACCTGATGCAAAGCATATTTTATTGTGGGACAGAGAAAAGAGCTTATTTAAATGTCAGGCTGCTCTCTAGTGGTTGTATATGTAAGCTGTTGGAAAGCATGCAGTCAATTCTGCCCCACCCCCGACCTCACAAATTTAGTGCACAAGTGAGTTTTTAAGAACAGTAATATTTTTCAGCACGTTTTCCTTTTTTGAGTGTGACTTGCCAGTTTGACTACATGATGTCACAGTACTGTTCTGTAGTAGTCTTGTTGAAAGTTTCCGTTTAGCAGTTTAGACTAAAATACTGTCTGTGTAAAAACACTAGTGTCACACACATTTTAATGTGTGGTAGAGGAATTTCTTATCCATAAATTGCAATAATAAATATCTGCAACAGTTACCTGCAAGTATCTATTATATTTCTATGTGCTGAGTAAGCAGAAACAGTCACTGGGCCTGACACTGTCCTTTCCTTACGTATGCATATTTTCTTTTTTTGTTGTGGATCTCTTGGGAGTTCATCAGGTGCGTGCTTGCTTTCAATTCTAATTTCATCTGGAATTAAGTCCTCTGGTTTTTATCTGCTGAATCAACTATTTATGTAAAATGGCAGAGCTTTCAGAGAAGAGGCCATAAAGTTTGATTCCTACTTTCCAATTCAGAAATCAGTATAGGTGGTTTTGTTCTCAAAGTTGCTAGCATACAGTGACTTATTAAAAGAAAAAAGTCCAAGTGTTTCATAATTGATATTGAGTCGCAGTTTTAATCAGTTTGAAAGTTCTTCTTGAATTCTTTTTTTATACTACATACCTAACATGCAAAATTATTTTAATTGATACGGCCTCTGATTTTCTCCAAGTTAAGCTTGCTTAAATATGTCAAGGAAAGTTAACTTCAGTGGGTCTGTTCACACATAAAAAGTGCTTAAGTGTTTATAAGATCATAGCCTGAAGAATATTTTGGCACTGATAAATTACAGGAATGCTATCCATTCAGTAGTTGTTAGTTTTAAATTTTTATTTTAGTTTTATTTTTTCTCCATTTTGAATGGAGCACTGAACCATTAATGTGCTATAATGATATTTTGTGGAGATCAGAAGTCAATACATCACACTTTAAAACGATTAAAATTCTTGTGCATTTGGAATGTAAACAACCAAATTTCTGATCCTGCAAGCATTTTATGACAGTAGAATTTAAATTATGTGTAATTTTCCATATATAACTCTTCAATAGGAATGCTGTCACTTATTGAGGATACATTTTTTTTTGCAAGATCAGAGACCTGAATTCTTGCCTTTTCTTTCCCCTCTCATGACTGAAAAATAGTTTCATAATATTTAAGTTCTTCTTTGGGATAAACTGGTATCTTGCTAGAATTCTATCAGATTTCAAACAAAGCTTTTTTTTGCTTGTGTGCTTTTATTCCAAAAGCATTATTTTTAGGCGCTTCAAGTGTTCCAGAATAGCTTGAGCAAACTTTTTCTAAAAATCTTAGATAGTCAAGGTGGGAATGAAAAGTGAAGGGATTTCTAGACATTTATTGTAGCCTCAAAGGATAACTTACGTCCACCTTTAGCTGGCACTTGATTCTAAGTACTGTTAAATAAATAAATAAAAAGTCTAATACTTAAGCTTAGCAGTTAAGTTACCAGTTAAGGCTATTCCAAGATAAGTAGAATGTAGAGTCTTGTTCCCTGCAGATACCTGAATTTTATTAGTTCTTATTCTATACCAAAATTTCAGGGATTGTCATGACAGGCTCCAGCCATCTTAAAGTTACAACTGTATTATCCAATCAAAATTCTTCTAGGTAAATTCCACCATTTCTTGTCTTGCACCTAGGTGAAAGCATTAAAGCAGTTCAATTCCCAAAAGACACCTTTTTGAAATCTGAAATTGTTAATTCTCTTGTAAGCTGCAAAATGGATAATACGTTCTGACTCTTAGCATTCAAAAAGAATGTAAGTAAACCCCCAAAACTATGCTACTACCTGCCTCCATCTAAACTGATTCCATTAGAGGCTGATTTTGACTACAAATCATATTTATATGCTGAAAATTTTTTAATTTGTACATAGCTGTTTTTTCTTTATGTATTGTAGCCTTTAATATGTGTTCTTCATGGTTGAATAACTGATTTCTAGGAAACTTAGCTAAAAAATATAGTGGAATGTGGCATGTATATTGGTTAGTGTGTATCAGTTTAGAGTAACTGAAATGAGATTTCTTAAGCTTCAAATATTTGAATTACCATTTTGCAGGCCATTATGCCCTAAGACACTATAGCAAATCAGGTGGAGAACAGAGTTGGTACTTGGAATTGACATTCATATTTAATCTGAAGTTTAGACCATACATTTATTCCACATTTAATTTTTAATAAATTGGAATAAAACCCAAGGGTTTTAATGGCATCCGCATATTCACATTTCTGAAAGTGTCTCCTCTGGTGCAGCAGTCTTCAGGAATCTCACTAGGAAATGTACAACCTTCATCGTGCTCATACTGAGAGGCAAAATTAAGGAGTACTGTTCACACTCCAAATGCCTCAGTTTCTCTCTTCCCAGCTAAAAATAGATAAAGGAAAAATACTTCCTAGGTTTGTCACTAGGAATCTCTTCTTGTGTTAAGCTAAAAATTATCTTAACAACTCCATGTAATTTTAAATAGTATTTGTTCTGTACAGTTTGTACTTGTAGGTTCCTTCTAATTTTGTGTTGAGACGCTATGCCCAATGTAGAGAAGGAGAAAAATGGTGTTTGCAGTACTTCTCATGTCTTCTGTACATCAATTGCACAATCATTTTTTGTACTTTGGAAACAGTCTTTACCAAGAAAGGAGATTTTATAAACCCTTGAATAAAATTACTCTTAGTCTGTGTAATCACCTTGAAGCTTATTAAACTGGTTAACTGAAATCTTAATTCCTCATGGACAAGTTCGTGCCTCTACAAATTTTAAGAAAGTTCTACCTCCTATTGCAGATCTATCTTAGATTGTAAATACAAATCTGGATTTAGATTGTCACTATTTATTGACCATCTGTTTGGGTCTTTCTAAGAGGAGAGTGACTCCAGCGGATCATGGGATCTTTATAGTAAGACAGTCTGCTAGAGACACTTTCAGAAGATAACTTTCTAGTCTCAACATGCATTCCTTCTGGTTTTTTTCTGTGTTTTTGCCACTTACAGAAGATGGAGAGATATAGGAGCCTCTGAGAGGAGCTTCCTCTAAGGAGACTTCAAGGAGTTGCCTGTACAAGTTGGGGAAGCAAGCCTCCTGGCTAATTATAGAGATTATTTTGAGAAGAGTTGTAGGAGGATGCTTTGAGGCACTAAGGAGCTAAGGAAAACTGGCTTTGGCAGTTTTATCTGGGTGTCTAACCTGAAACTTAGAGGAGCAGTAAGCTCAGATTGAATGTTTTGTGAAGAAAGACTTGAATGCCAAGTACAGTCTTCCCCTCCCAGGGTGGGGAAAGCCTCCGGCGACTTCTCTGGAAGTTTGAAAAATCCATTGACTAGAGAACAGTGTAGATGTAGAAGAGGAGCATGAAGAAAGCTGATTGAGTGAGAAGTTATCCAAGAGCCTTGGCCAAGAAAAGCCAAGTATTGTCAGTAAATACTGTTTTCCAAGGGAGTTTCCAATGACTGTGCTACCAGAGCATTTGGGGACTGTGAATGCGCAGAGGCATATGACATTGATTATTAAACTAGTTTTAGTTTCACAAGATAAAGCTAGTATGAAAGAGCAAATGTTTGCCTGAGGACTAGTGACTATTTTCAAAATCAGATTAGTATATGTAGTCAACAGAAAAACACCAGAAAGTATTTATTCAGGTAAGAGTCGTTGCAGTATCTTAGTCAAATGATATGTATTTTGAACTTTTTTCTTTTATTTGTGAAAAGTTAAAGACTTTATAAAAAAAAAAAAACAGAAACTTTGAATTTTCTGGGTTTTGATGCTTTATCTTTTACTATGATCATATTTTTTCATGGGTCTTTCTCACTTTTTCAAGATAGGTTTGTTTCATTTGTCAGGTGGCATATTGAGGATTTTCCTCATCTTCTTTTGTTCCGTCTTTTTATTTTGTTTTGTTCTTACAGCTACAAAAGCCCATGGTGGCAAGATGGTAATGTCTACTGCTTTCTTTCTGTTACCCTTGCCAATATTGCAGAGGTCAGGTTTGCAAGTTAATGAAGCTCAAAACCAAACCACTATCACTTCTGTCCTTAAGCTCATGTTACCTGTTTGATTGCCTACAGTGGCACGGGTGTGGACTCCAAGGTTTCTTTGGAGCATCTTTTTCTTAAATGAGGCTCGTTCACATTCTTGAATAGACTGTTAATGGAATGCATTGTGGACATTGACAGCATTGCAATAGCAAGAAAACCCAGTCAAACAGTCAAATCTCTGTCTCTGTGTAAATTTTTATTTGTACTATACCAGTAAGGAGGAAAAATTGAGACAAAATAATAACTGCTAATGAGATGGTTTTCCACAGGTGTTTATCTTGACTGCCAGCTTGTTTTCCTACAACATATTTGATATGTTGCAAATTTAATGAAAACCTAGAAATTTTGATAAGCTCTGCACCTTTGTTGTTTTTCCGGACACATGAACATTTGAATGACTTTATTTACATGTACTTCTGCATGTTAACTGTTCATTACATGCTGATTTACAGTAAATAAAGGTAAATAGGGGTCACTGAGTTGTGTTTTATACATCACAGTGGTACTGTCCTTGCATGGTTTTTATCTTGCATGACAATGGAATATGTTTGTATTAGTCTATGTATAACATGTCTTGTGGTTTATGCATGCTGCACTAATCTCTGTGTTAAATCTGTCCCCTCTTTATTCAGAGCATGCTGTCTAGGTCCTTTAATTCCAATTATGCTGCAGTTAGCAGCTTTCACTATGGCAGCTCTAGGGATCTGCATGGCAGCCAGGGTAGTGTTGCCTTGAGTGTTGCAGACGGAAGAGGTTCTGGTGTGCACATTGTTCGAGTGAGTACCTACAGGAGGCTATTGCAATATATAGAGGGGGAAAGAATAAACTGTGAGAGGTGTCCTTAAATTGATGGAGTTATCCTTTTACATTTGGACAATGCTTTCAATAAAAATAATATAATAATTTATGTGCTGGAATTTTTTTATAGGCATTAAATCAAATACTTTGCCCTCACTTCATATGCCTTAAACCTACTGCAGGGCTTTTCAATTTAGTGTCATGAAATTGAGTTTTCTAATTGGCTTTTAGAGACAATTGAACATCTGTAAAACTGTCTGGTTTCATTGTACATATGTGAACAAGAGATTACCATTTTGAATTTCATGTAGGTTTATAAAGGTTTGAACAAAATCATCTTATGCTTTTTCCTCCTCCAAACAAATTCTGATGTAAACTGTACTGTAAGATACTGTAGGCATTCAAGATAGTATTTTAGTTTGTAACAAAATGCGAGGAAATTACTCTAACTCTGAGCATCCTGAATGATGTTAGGTTATCCATAGTGAGCAGGATAAAGTCAACAGAAGACTTCTTTTAACCATATGAATCCTTGAATAGGCAGTCCTTAGCATTTGTTGACTTTTCTTACCTTTTTATTGGCGATCAAAGACACCTCTGCAGTTGCTAGATTTTGTAAATATCCATCAGTATTGTATGTGTGTGGTGTCTTTGCTAGTAAGATTTTTCTACATAAACAATGTACTAGTTAATCAAAGAAGATAAAGAACAATAAAGCCCTTAAGAAGCCCAGAATAAAACACTTTATGAGAATTTTTTACTTTGAATTGTATGGAGACAGTCATCTTTACTGCTGCATTCTGTTTAAAGCATCCCCAGGCTTCTACTCCAGGAGACCAATCCCAGGATGAAGTATTCATTTCAGGACAGCAGAATTACTCATCTGCCACACTTAGTCTCAAAGATGTTCCTCCAGACAGCATGAAGAAAATAGCTGTGCAGGTAATTACCTACATGACACCACTGATAGGATATATTTATCATTATTTGTAAGGATGTATTTTTTTATTAGTATTAGAAACGTATGTTGGGATACCAGTTGAAACTGCGACTTCTTTAAAATGCAATGCAAAGGTATCAAAGGTGGCATAAATTAGCATCCTCTTTTTGGAAGACAAAATAAATAGTTAACTATATGAAGGAGGATGGTTCTCATTTTTCTTCAGCAGGGTCTGTGAAAGAAGACATTTGCAGCAAAAGTCGTAATTGCAAGTGAAAGTTGGAATATGGCAGATGATTTCAGGAAAGCAATCTGAAGCTGATTAAACCATTTGAAGAACAAAATTGAAATCTGTTGTGATGAAATTGTGATCATAAACTGGAATTTGTAGGAGACATTCTGTATTCATCTCTAAGGACCATCTATACAGGCAGGACTTACTACAATGAAACTAAATGGATGCTCGAAAATTATGATGATGCAGCAATTGATTTTCTTTTTAAAACATCAGTAATTTCGATTGCATTTCTACAGACGTTGGATATTGGGAATTTGCATAGCTGTTGATAACCTGTGTTGCCTATGTAAACTCTGCCTCTGGCAGTGCAACAAAAAATAGTTTTCCTGTCATGCTTTAGGTTTTCAGAAAAGGCAGTAGAAAATTGTGTAAATTTAATACATCTGATCTGTAAATGTATGTATGCATACATTACCATTTCTCAGAATCACTCTGACATAAAAAACTCACCTTAACGGAATAGATTCTGATACGTGTCCATTCCCATACCATGGTTAAAAGTTGAAATTTGCATGCTTAAGTAATTTATAATATTGAGAGAGAGTATTTTAATATCCTTATATCCTATAACTAGTGGGATAATGGTGGCAGGCAGAAAAAATCTGTAACTCAAGCCTGTAGCATTTTTGGAATGTGGGAATCATACAGACAGATGAGTAACTACTTTGGCTGGGTAAGAGCACAAGGCATATGGGCGAGGAGGGAAAAGACTGCCCATCTCAACGCAGAGGTGCAGAGCTGAACAGTAACTGTGAGGCTTCAGTAATAAACGTCGTCTCCAGCATCATTCCTAGTGACACGATTTAAATGCACTGTATGTCTTGACAGTTGCGTACCTTACTGCCGTTGTCATCATTATACCTATCAAATCAGTGACAGATGGGTTAACAAAAGAATAATATTTATTGGAAATATCATTACAGTTTTGATATTAAAATCTTGAGCTTATATGTGAATTTGCTCAGAAGGTTTTCTTGTGGTCACCAAAAGATGCTTGGGGAGCATACAATTTCTGTCTGCTAGCTGTGTGGGATTTTTATTTTGTGTAAGATCTACTGGGAATTGCTACAAAAATCTCTGAATTTTATGCAATAAAAGTGCAAACTGTAATGATACCAACCAACTGTCCATATTGTCAGTTGCACTGCTAGAAAATAATGGCTGGGAAAACTCAGTAAACAAGTGCTAAAAGCAAAGACTGTCTAGTTTGTTCTAGAGGATTAGAGCTCAAAGTAAGTTTTTTTTGTTTTCCAGATTTGTTCTCAGTAGGTCAGAGCTGATGACTATAAAGAAAATTGAGTATAATTGTACATGACCCAGAAGAGTAGTTTTAGTAATGTTCTTAAAAGTAAAAGCAGTCAAGTATGAGAAATATCGAAATAATAAAGGAGGAATTGAGGATTGCTGCTTATAAAATGTATTACATGTATTCGTGTTTTATTCAGATACCTTTGACAAATGGACAAATGTGCCAGCCTCAAAGACCTCAGGCAAACTACAGCCAAGTCCATCATCTCCCTCCTCATTCATCAGTAGCAAGACATCCATCTAGAGAGCAATTAATTGATTATCTGATGTTGAAAGTTGCCCACCAACCTCCCTATACCCAGTCTCAGTGTTCTCCCAGACAAAGCCATGAGTTGGTAAAGCAAGAGGTAAGAATAAAATCTAATTTGACAGTACGACATCTGTCTGTCAGTGGCAGTAAATTGTTAGATTGTTTTCATTTATTACTATTTCTCTGTAGATGATGACAGAAATCACACAGGACTTTATCTCCAGCAGAAGACGGTGTTATCTCAGTGCAATTCTACTACTGAAATTCATTCTAGTTTTAAGCTGGTTTTATGTGAACGTTTTAAGAGAAAAATGTGGTAGATTTTTAACAGAATGTACCAGAAACTTAAACTTTAATCTTTTTACTGAGCTAGAAATTTATTTCTTAACTACATTTATTGATCACCAACTCATTATGTATCTAGTAACTGAAAAAATACAAAGTAGCAGTACAACTTAGAGTACTTTGCACCTATTCATTGCTATCCAGAATGGTTCAAAAACTTGCATATGTAAAAATGTGCATCCATAAACAAAAGCCAGGATAAAAAAAAGTGTGAGCATCTGATGCATGCCTGATAATTATAAGTTTTATTTATGATAGACAAATGTGGGTAAGAGATTCTTACACAATTTAATGACTTTTTCATTGGGGCAACCTTCTTTCTGCTCTTGGAGAGAAGATGTTTCTTCTGTATTGTTTTGGATTTTTTTGAGAAAATACTGAGAACTACGTTTTCATTCTGTACTAGAAGAAGAATATCCACTTCTTATGTAAAATGAGTTTTCTAACCAACTATTGTGGCAAGAGAAAGGATAGACAGTGTTGGCTATGTAGAACTTAGAGTGAAAGTAGGAACAAGGTGTGATTTTTAAAATTCAGCTAGAGGTAGCAAAGAAATAGGAGGAACAGGTTGTTTCATAGGAACATGTATATTTGCTGGGGGCGTTAAATTAACTTACATAATATCAAAATATCTCTGAATTTAAACCCACAGGAGCTATGATTATAATAATAGTGATGTTGGGGTAAAATTTATGTACAATGATACTTGATGCTGTTGTATTGAATCTTGTTCTGAATTGGTATTAGAAGATACAATACTCTTTTGTACTGTGACAAATGCTTTTTTTTGCAGTTGTTTTTTTTTTTAAAGCTTTTGTTCACCTCAATTCCTTAGTAATAATTTCATTACAGTAGCTTTGAATGCAGATTTTCACCTAGTTCATCTAACTTCGGTTCTAACTACTTAGATTCGAGTGAGAATTGACAAGGACCCAGAACTTGGATTTAGTATATCAGGAGGAGTTGGTGGTAGAGGGAATCCATTCAGACCTGAAGATGATGTGAGTATTTTATATTAATGTATCTTAAAATCATTCTGATCAATAATGTTTCTATTGTTTAGTAAAGGAGAAAAAGAAGTATATATGTTCCCCAAACTGCTAAACTCCAGGACTGGAGGGGAAAAAACTGGGGACAAATGATGCGGAAAATCAAGGTGGTAGGTGACCACAGTGGTCACATGACAACACAGAGGTTTATTCTAGCTGAGTGGTTCTTGCAGAGTTCCAGATACCAGTCAACAGATTTGAGATAGTGAATTAATGGAGTTTACAATTAGGATTCTTAACAAGAACATGATTTAGCCTAAAGCCTTGATTCTGGTGGTTCATAATTCATGTTGACATACACATCTGCCAAATTAAACAAAGGCAGATCAGAATTTGCCCTTCAGTACTCTTTTAAAGGCAATTCTCCTGGATTTAACATCAGAAAAGGAAGGCAGTCACAAAAGCCAGTAGACCTGTAGAATAATACTGCATTCTCTTCTGCTTAGGATGGAAAATTTTAAAAATGTTTTGAATTGCGTCTCGTTCATGCTACCCTACTAACAATGAAATAAATTGTCAAAAATTTTTCCACCTCTGTTTTTCAAGGGTATATTTGTAACCAGAGTGCAACCAGAAGGACCAGCATCTAAGTTGTTGCAGCCTGGAGATAAAATAATTCAGGTACTGATGGTCGTCTAATTAACTAGCCTATATAGTATACCAGTTCATTTTTAGTTTGCACCTTTTCTAAGAGCAGAATGTGTAATTTTTAGATAAATTACCAGTATCTTTTCCAGAAACATTCTTACGTTCTGGGATGATGCTTCTAATTTTCTTCCACCTAATGTTAGGGTAGGTGATAGAAGCTGAAGCATTGATCAGTTGGATCTTTTTTTCGAACTCTGAACATCTTTCACACTTTTAAAGAGAAAAAAAAACAGGCCTAATATTGTCATTCAAGATGGAAAACGAGCATTTCAGGCTTTACTATCATTCCGTTGTTTGACTTGTGGTCATTCACATGCAACATTCTGAATGATGTGTTGCCTGAACACCAGCAGTTGCCCCTCACAACCCCTCTCCACAGCTGCACCTTGCTGTTACATCCCTCTCCATCCTGCAGTTCCTGCTGGTCTTGCCAGCCTGGACATCCACAAGCGCTGGCAGAAGCTGCTTCTTGGCTGGCTGATACCTGGCTGGTCATAGCGTGTACCTTCTGGCTGCCTCATCTGCTGCAGGCGAGCCAAGTAGGTTGCCTCAGGAGCCATGGCTTCTGGGCCGCAGCTGTGCAGTTCTTTTCTGTAGGAAGTCAGTACCTGTCAGACCTCTTTCATATCAGATTCGTTTGAAGTTGTCCAATGAGCTCATAAGCTATTTGGGGAGAGGTCAGGGAAATGGACAAGGGGATTATATAAACCTTACTTTCTTAGGGAAATGGACTAACAGGACATTTGAACAGTGCTGTAGCCATCCCTAAAGTTGCAGAGCTTGTTAAAAATTATTAATTATTCACCACATTACTGGTTTAAGAATGTTGATAGAATCGACTCTGCTGCATTTCAGTTTTCTAAAAACAACAAACAAATAAACAAAACAACAAAAAACCCACTAGTATCTCAGTTAAACCACAACATGCTGTGAACAGTTTTTTAAAACAAAGCCAAACTGAAAACAAAGTCTAATCCTTCGAATGAAGGGTAAAGCAAAAGAGCACACAGGAAAACTAAACTGAGATCAAGTTGTTCCAGCTAAAAGATGGCTTGATTTTGAGTATGGTAAATAATTCTGTTCTTGTTATTCCTCACTGGGGTAAGAAAGGTCCTAGTTCTTTTACTGATGTAGATGACTTTAAGGAATGGAGGTAACCCTCCAACACACCATACAGGAACAAGGAGCATGTTAAACCTTTGTAAATACTGGTAGCGTATTTGTTAGATATTTATAGAGCGGAGCATGTGTGAAAAGTGACTTTTGTTTTCATGGTTTATTCATGTCTTTATGGAATTTCATTTGTCTGCGTGACATTTATAATGAAGTTTCCTTTTGTCATGTTGGCACTGCTTGGGTTTTGCTTTTTGTTGAATGAGGAATTCATAGTTTGAAAAAGAGCTGAAGGAGAAATTGTATTTGCATGCTTAGACAATTACAGGCTGTTTCATTTCTCATAACTAAGAATACTTTTTTGTGTAACAGCACATTCTTTATACCTGTGATAATCCCAGTGATGATGTAATGACAGTCCCACTGTCTTGTTGCCACTTAGACAACTTCTGCAGTTTTTGACTGAATATCATCTCTCTCAAAATGACTTTGCTGTGCTTGATTTTGCAACGTTCTCTGTAAAACATGCATTAGGCATGCATATTATGAGGCGTCTAATACATATGTCTAATAAAAATATTCTACATGACCAGTGACTAGATAATTGCATGTAAGTCTTAAGATACTGTTGAATATTAGGTTAGGGCTAGGTCATTCTGTACAGATGATGATTTAGAAGGGTTATTGCCACTTCTGCTCTCTGAACAGCCAACATGTAAATCTTTCTCTGCAACCCTAGACAGATTTAAAACCCACTGCCTTTACAACAAAGGGTTCAGCTGGTAGCAACAGCAAGCGTTTGGTGATGGGATAAGGGGCTGCAACTCCAAAATGGCACAGCTAAGGCACAGAGCGCATGACCAGTTCTCTCTGTTGCTGCATAAGGGGCAGTAGCTCAGGGAGAAAGGTGGAAGCAGTAACAGTTTAAACTGGACGAATCTGTTGTTCTGCAAAATTTTACCACCCATGAATTTGCAGTAGTACACCCTGAGAAGATGAACCACAGTCATGTTTTCCCTGTCTTTTGTAGGCCACTTAGGCCTGCCTGCTTTTGCAAAACCAAACCTGTCCCAAGAATCACAATGTTGTTGAGTCACAGGAAAAATCAAACTGGGGGGTGACCTCAGGAGGTCTCACACCCTAAAATGGCTCCAAATGCCATTAATGTTCTTTTTAAAGGCTTCAGTAGTTTTCATTTACCACAGATGCCATTTCTAATATTCTGGTATTTAAACTGGGATGTATCATTTGTACTGCATTTGCTTTTTTTGTTGTGGCTGTATTAAGGCTGGTGAATTAGATGTCTGATTGTAATGGTTTAAAGTTTGGTTTTCTCTTTTGGTTATTTGCAGTACCTTTGGGCAAAATTTTTCCAAGCCTAACACGGTATTTTAATTTCTTGTGGCATACAGGTACATGTTCAACTCACATCAACAATGTAATCTGCAAATCTGCAGTGCTTTATTGTCTGCATTCATAGAGAATTTGGTTATTTTAAACCTTAAAGCTTGAATAAACTAACATGAAATATGAGACATGTTTCACTAACATGGCATACGAGACTGTAATTTTCAATTTTAAATATTTATTTTTAGGCTAATGGATACAGTTTCATCAATATTGATCATGGACAAGCAGTATCTTTGCTAAAGACTTTCCAGAATGCAGTGGAACTCATCATTGTGCGAGAAGTTTCTTCATAAATACTGTGGATTGGGGGGAAAAGCCAGCAGGATTCATTAAAGGACTTGTGGGAAACTGAATATTTTGCCTATTTTTATACATGAAAGGAACTTGAAAAGAATTATGATCAAAATTTGTACAGGAAATACTGAACTTGTCATTAAAGGGGAAAAAAAACACTGTATCACACGTGCAGGAAATCATTTTGGAAATGCATATGGGGAATAGACTTGCGTTTAGGCATTATAGCAATCTAAGGATCACTCCTCCAAGAACAAACCTGTGTTGTTTTTTTGTACAGTTGTTAGGTTTATTTTTGGATAATTCATACACATTACTAAACTTTGTGCAAGGATTTGCGAAGCCTCGGTTGTAGCCAATGGACAGATGGCAGGGCTGTCTGTCCTGTAGCTGTTTATTGCCTTTATTTTTATTCACGAGATATTAATGTGTTATGCTGAAACCACTTCTGTAGATATGGACAGGAGATATGAAATGTTGGCTTTGCTATGTGCACATTGTATAGATGAATGGGTAGATGGAAGGTGGTGTTGACTGGACAGAATAAAGGTCAGGTGAAGCAACTATCTGCTATCTAAATCTGGAATCAGGAAAGAAGAAAAAGTGTTTCATTCTGGAGTGTACGTCTACCAATAGAAAATGCAATAAAAGCTTACGGTGTTTTTTAGGAAGACTGTAACTACAAATTTGTGATATTCTACAGATTTGTTCTTAATGTAGTCATTGAGTATTCATTTGCCATGTGTGATTTGTGTTTAGTTGGGTTTTCTTGCATACACAATTTTTTCAACTGTACTGTGGAAATGTGCCCAGAGGGTTTTTTCTACCGTGGAAATGGTGATACTTTTATCTTTATACAATGTACCCCATTTTAACCTTATAGATTTTTAAAATGAAACTGAAATGGCCAGTTTTTAAGGTTGTTGCCTGTAATATATATTTAAACACACACAAAGTACATGATGCAGGAAGGGTTATGAAAGGCATCTCGATTTTGTTTGGCCTTTGCATTTCCTTGTTAATCAAAAAGGAAACCATACGCATGGAGCTAGGTAACCAAAGCAAGTTTGTGAAACTTTGAACAGTGATGGAGAATTGCTGTGGTGAGATGGAGAGCAAAGGGAGGGTGTACTTACAACCCACTAGTTCGTAATGATGTTTCTCAAAGGGCTGTTCCTACAGGTAACATTAAATGTGAACTAGACACTTCAGAGTCATTAAAGGGTTTCTAACTATGTTAATATAATACTGATTTACCACAGGCTGCCTTTGTTCCTTATTACTGTATAAAATATTCAATTATGCTTCTATTAATTTTGTTTACCAGAAACATTAACTTTATTTTTATCTTTCTCCTTTGTAATTGAATAGAGACTGCATAATCTGCAGTGATAATTAATACACGGTTGTTATGGACCAGGGAAAAGTGCCATAGAAGACCAATAACTGTTTTTAATCAGGGCTAATGATTAGCCTGTCATTGGAGCAATATTCAGTTATTGCAATTCATTTTTAATTACATATAAGTTGGTAGTTTGAGACAGGTATAAATTGCTTTTTTCAACCCATGTGTACAAAAGGAAATGCTTTTAATAAAGCTAGCAAAACCACCAGCCTCCTTTAGTTTTGGGACAATGAAGAGAGAGGAATTATACGTAGCTAGCGGTAATAAACAGGCAGTACTTTTTAAATAAGTGAACTCCAATATTATTGCACTTCTTTCAAAGATGTTAACTATTGCTTATTGTACTGTGTATAGTTCTCATAATTTTAATTGAAACCCTTTAACAACTCTTTGTATATTTTAGTTCTTAGTTGATTTTCAGTAATATTTACATAGAAAATGATTTTTTTTGATACATTAGCAGAAATGTGCTGTATTTTGATAAAATTCACTTAATTTCTGTGTGCTGTTAATCTTCAAAGACTGAGAAATGTAGCTATATAATGGCAGGCTTCAGTGATCCCCTTCTAAGATGTGTTTTGATGTTGTTTAGTTTCTGGGTTTTTTTTTGAAAATGCAAAATGTTCACATCACATATTCATTACTTTTAATCATGTTATTTTTATCACACACTGCCTTTTAAGGGGAATGCATACAGACAAGTCCTAAATTACCTTGGTCTTCTACATAACCTGTTTCTTTGGGAAGGGAAAAGTCCAAAAAGCAGAACTGATTCTTTACTGACTGACTTTGTATACATTTTACAGTACATTTAAATATATCACTGAGGAATTATACTGTATTGTATTTTGCTTTAATGGTAACAGAAGTTTTAAACGTTGTGTCACTTAATCTTCAGATTTATGCATCACGGGAAAATTCTACCAAAAACTGTTTGGCTGTGGTAGAACTATAGAAGTAGAGATTTATAGCAAGAAGTTTAGTACTTCTTGTGGAAATACTTGGCCAAAGCTTGTCTTCAGTAAATTAGAAAATTAACCATCTAATAAAACATGGATAATGCTGATTTTACTCAGTAAATGTTGGAGTTTTCAGTGGATTGAAATGTGTTTGTTCCTTCAGTGTCTATGTGTAAAGGTAAACACATGTCAAACTATGATGATTTTGCAGACAGTGGGAGAAAGATGTCTCCTCAACTAGAAATCCAGC